CGGAGGCAGGGTGCGCGAAAAGGCGTGCGGCAGTTTATAGATCAGGTTCCAGTAGGAATGAACATGCTAGTTCGATCTAGCAAATTATTTTACCCTTCCTGACTTCGGAAAAGGCAGACGAAAAATGATAAATGCGCCGGCATATCCCGAAAATCACCTCTTTAGGCCAGAATTGATGGGAACGCCGCGTGGGAATTTCGCTTAATAGTATAGTATGTGTCCGGCATCCCTTAACTCAGTTTCCTAACCCTGTGTAGCCGATTTTTTTTGTGGGTGCCCCTTGAGATTAAGTCCGGAGTGGGGATTTCTCGAGCGTTAGTCGAAATGTAGACTCGTAACCAGTCTGTATACAATGGCCGAAAAATGTAGCAAGCACTTCGGTGTATACAGACTGGTACAACTCGGGTTGTTGCATTGGGCTGTCCGCGGAGTTTGAAAATTTGGTCAGGGCCCTGTTCTGGGATGCAGTTTGAGGATGAATCAATTTGAAGCACAGATGAACGATTTTACTTTGAAAATGGCTCAATCTGTCTCCTCACTTATTTTTTAATCTAGCTTGGGAGAGTGGAAAGAGCCATCAACTTTCGACCAGAATTGATGGGGTCTGATGGCTCTTGTACCGGCCGATCACGGCACCTGCTAAAATTTGAAACTCCAGGGACAGCTCAATCACTTTCAACGAGTTGTACCAGTCTGTAACCACCGAAGTGCTCGCCACATATTTTCAGTATCTGGTTACAGACTGGTAACGAGTCTAGTCGAAATGGAGGTCGATGCTCGATCGCAACACAAGGAGGTTCTCGCTCTTATCAAGGCTGAAAACGACGCCCAGTCGTCGACTTTAGTAGATTTCTTATACACCTATTTTGGGCCGAGTCTGACCTTTCTCGTCAGATTCGTGGAAAATTTATCGCTCACGGTAGCAACTCCAGCTTGCGTTCGCTCCTGCCACCGTACCCGAAAATATTCCATGGCCGAGACGCAGAACTCCACGACGTAGTTTCTATTCTGCTACAAGATACAGCCCGCGTGGCGATCTTGGGGACAGGTGGAATGGGGAAGACTACGCTTGCTACGGCAGTTCTGCACCATCCAGAAATTACTTCCAAATATCTCCATCTTCATTTCGTCTCGTGCGATTCCGCGATGACGGGAACACAATTGGTTGAGATCGTTGGCTCCTACATTGGGCTTGAGCCCTCCCGGCGACTCTCCACGGCCATCCTTGATCATCTTTCGAAGAGCGGGCCGACTTTGTTGCTATTGGATAATTTTGAAACCCCCTGGGAGGGCGTGGATAGTCGAAGAGAGGTCGAGGAGTTCTTATCACTCCTGAATGATTTGCCCGGCTTAGCACTGCTGGTACGACGGCACATTTTCTGAGTTTTTCGTATGCTCATGGATGAGTTTTAAGATCACTATGCGTGGTGCAGAGCGTCCCGGAAAAGTCAAGTGGACGCGTCCTTTTCTGCCACCACTGGAACCGCTGGCTCTAGATGCCTCTCGGAAAACCTTTGTCGAAATCGCAGACGAGCCCCCATGCGAGGAGGAGCCGGCGCTGGTTGAATTGATTGAGCTGACCGGCAACCTGCCCTTGGCTGTCGGTCTCATGGCCAATGTAGCGTCGGTCGAAGGTTACACTGGTGCATTGTCACGCTGGAAACAAGAAAATTTCGCGCTCATTTCGGACGGTTACGATCGGCGCTCGAACCTAGAGAAATCATTTATCATCTCCCTCACCAGTCCGCGCATGCGGTCAACACCTGCTGCGATGGAGCTTCTCAGTATTCTATCCGTATTACCTGACGGAATCGCGGATGCGGACCTCTTATTGAGCGGTATTCCCATCCCCAAAATCCTCGAATGCAAATCCCTCCTTCTTCGGATGTCTTTAGCGTTTGTGGACCGTGATCGCCTCAAGGCTCTGACTCCCATTTGGGAATATATTTCGCGGGTTCATCCACCTTCCGCGTCCCTCACCAAACCCATTAGAAGACACTGGAGAAACATGCTGGAGATGTGGAAGTTGCTCCAGACGTCATCTTACCGAGACGTTGTCCTCCAGCTTCAATCCAATATCGGCAACATCGAAAGTTTTGCTGCCTTGGAGTCAGGGACCTCCTCCGCAGAGACGGTGGACATTATCCTCGCACTCAGTACTTTCGCACGATCCATCGTACGGGGCAGTATCCAACCCGTGAAGCTCATATCTGCGGTAGAGCACTCAGCTTTCACCGCGCCAGAACATTTCTGAATCTGCCTTTCGGGAAACTAGGGGGAGGGACAAGAATCGCCGCCGTTGAAATGTATATTCCTATATTTTTCTATCGTAGGCCCTCAATGACAGTTAGATAATATCAGCACAATAGAGAGTTTGCGAGGCAGCCATTCGAGCCATCTGATGGCTGTTTTGCATTGTGCAAATTGATGGCTAATGGCTCGAATGGCTTCAATTCTTGCCCATATTTTTGGAGTCATTGAGTTGCCTCCGAGTTGTTCAGCTCATATATGGGTGATCAGTTCCACTCACAAGTCTAACAGCCAGATTGTGGGCCCAAAATTGTTAAGGTTGCTGAATTTGGAGGTCTTATGCAGTCTAGGGCATTCCTTAAGGTCCAGGTGTGATAACACACTTATTGACACTCTTTCTAGCAGAAAAGACTCAAAAGAGCATACACTAACTTTCTTTTGTCAGCCATCCATCGAGCATTAGCCATCAGTTTGCGCAACGCCAAACAGCCATCAGATGGCTCGAATGGCTGCATCGCAAACAGGCTAATGTCAAGCGTTTTCCACTCCACATACTCAGTGTACACACTGACCGGCGTACTGTATCTTCCCGACAGTGGGCTCCTTTTGTCGTAGATTACTATGCCAAATTGCGCCTTCTCTTGAATTTTTATTCCAGTCACGAACGTAGGCAGGGATTAAATAGCCAGTAATGGACGCGTCGTCGCACAGTGTATAGTCACATCACATGTCAGTCTTGTCACATTGTCGCTGTCACTTGCCCCATCTCTGTAACTGTAAGGGTCACGGAACGTACCCCTTACATGGAACACTATACGTACTCATGGGCATTCTAGTCACATTTACGGACACTTTACTTATATTCTATGGACTCTCTATGTATGTTTCTCCATGGTCACTCTACCCGTTGGATATATTACATCAATTGGTCCGTGCGTTCTCACTTGGTCCGTGCATTCTCACTTATATATATACAACTAGCGCCAGATCCTGTATCCTTGTCAAATTAACTGGCACTTACTCAGGATTCCTCTGCACTTTTCCTAGGCTTCTGGCTCTTTGAGCTTCTTCTTTATTTTGGGATTCCGTGCCCGTTACAACCTCCTCGCTACGTAACTCAACAAAACTCATGCAGCTCGGCCAATTCTCTGCATCTGTATCTGTTGATGGCGTCCAACTAGCTAACTATGCTCCGGAGTACTCAGCGGACGGGAAGGAAGCCACTTGCTGGATTGCCTCTGAGAGCGACAAGGTCAGTCTGACTCCGTCAGTGGAGGGATAAGAAAGAATCGTGGCCTAAATCTCCAAATAGAAATTCTGCGTGGAGTGGAAGAACGTGAAGGCGAAGGAATCCTGTGTTATTTTGGGCTACGTCGCCGTCGATCGTATTGATTGCGGTGGGAGGGAGATGATACTCTCGGGTAATCGCGTCAGTCGGGGCAGTCGGGATAGTGTATCCACGTCGGAAACCACCAGGAGGGATTTGGTTTTTGCAGAACAGGCTTTGACCGGTTAGTAGCGTTTCTCGGGCTTCTGGGGTGTTTCTGAGCGTGGGCCGACGGGTTTTATTAGATGACGACGCATACTTGAATACTGTGATCTCACCGCATCTGGGGACTATTCGCTTGGAGCTTTGGGAGACCAGAATGGCTCCTGTTCCTATAATGCAGAAACCTTGGACGGCGCCGGCACTTGAGCCGCAAATACTACATGAACAGTCGAAGAAGGTTATTGGTCATTCTGTCCAGTCAGTTGTATTTGTATCACCCCGAAAACGCTGTGGTCTCTACTCATATCTCCAGGTTCGGAGCGGAATATCAAAGCCATAACAATAGATATGTAGGCTTCCAACCGGAGAAAACCAGGCACCTAGTTACCTTTGTTTTCAAATATAGACCCATCGGTGAGCGTTGGGCGTTGTCTTCTTGTGCAGGAGTCATGCTTACTTCACCGACAGGCCTACTGAGGGCCGAAGGCATAGCACCACCACTGGCTCGGGTTGGCGACAAACGCCCAGCATCACCCACAGACATCCTGGATCGGACGCTGGTAGACGAGAATAATGACGAGGAGGGGGTTGAAATTAAGCAACTTGAAGTAGATCCCCTGGACTCTTCTATTTCCGTTCACTGACCTTCATCTAGGCGAGGGAGGTGAAAAAGAAGAATGCAAAACGAGTCAAGCGCGAACCGTACGATGTCAAAAAGGAAATCAAGGGCGAAGGATCGTTGTTTAAACCTGGTGAAGTGATCGACTTGACTTGAACACTGCAGTCGGATTATTATTTGTATTAAATAATTGGAAAGCTATTTATTTTCTGGTGCACGGGCGAAAATTGCCAGCTATCGCACGGCTATCAGGTGAAGCTCCCCATTGATCAAATCTAGACAGACGGTGGCGGAAAGCAGTTATATTCAGAATGGGGTTTCTTTGACCATAAAATAAATGTCACGAGTGGTTTATGAGATATCTACCGGTGAGGAATGAAAATGTGGGAAGTCAAATGCATGATGGGTCGCCTGAGGTAATGATGAATTTCAAGCAGACAGGAGCCATCCACCACCAGTCTTTCTTTTGAGCCTGAATATATCTGAATTTTCTGGTGTGGCTGAAAAAAAAAGGAATTGAAGCTGACAACGGAAGCTGACGCGGACCATCCGCTACCGAGCCTTGTTTTTCATCCACTCAAACCTAGATAGGTGTGCAGATTATTTGATGTGGTTGATAAAAATCCGGCTAACAACGATCCCGGGCTCGGGCCTGATTCGAACAGGCGGGGTCTGCGTATGCTGAGTGCGTTATTATGAGATGCAGATGCGGACCATCCACTACCGAGCCTTATTCTTCATCCATTCAATCCTGGATATACCTTGATTCTTTTGAGAGGTAGTTGAATAAAAATGACTGTTCCGACAGCACACGCCTGGCTCGGGACTGAGTCGAACAGGCGGGATCTGCATCCAGCGACCGTTGGAAATTAGCTATTTGAGGCTGATGCGGACCATCCGCTACCGAGCCTTATTATCCTTCATATAAACCTGAATGTATGAGCCCATTTTGGATGTAGTTGAAAAAAAAGGGCGGTCGAAAGTGGAAATGGCTTAGGCCTGATTCGAGCAGGCGTGATTTGCTTGCAATCCGCAAATATATTTCATATTTTGGGCAGACGCGGACCCTCTGCTACCGAGCCTTATTTTCCTCCCTTTGAACTTGAATTTATGAGTGCCTTTTTGTGTTGAGTGGAAAAAAAGTGTTATTTGTAACCGCAGCGGCCATGGCTCGAGTCTGATTCGAACAGGCGAAATCTGCGTGCAGCGTTTTCCTTTTTACTCATGTGAAGCAGACACGGACTATCCGCTACCAAGCCTTATCATCATTCCTAAGAACCTGGATATATCGCATTCGCTGCGTAAAGCCTGCGTTCAGCGGGTTCCTAAACCCGAAATTGCCGAGAAGTTGTGAGACGGCATAGACTAACCTCGAACTGACACAGGTGGAGCTAGACGCAGCTAGACGGACCTAGACAGACAGGTCTAGATCCGTCTATGTCTGTCCATAGCTGTCCATGCCGTCTCACAGGTTCTACATTTTTTAGGTTTGGGAACCCGCTGAACGCAGTGAGCCTTTCAGAGGTGGTTGAAAAAAAATAACACTTCTACATCTACATTTGAAGCAGATGCGAACCATCCGCTACCGAGCCTTATTCCATTTCTTTTGAACCTAGATATATGAGCACAATTTGGGAGGTGGCTGGGAGAAAAAAGGTAAACTTCGAAGGCATCATGGGTGCGTGCATTGCGCTGAGCGACGCTATCATTAAATGCAGATGCGGACCATCCGTTACCGAGCCTTATTTCCCTTCCTTTGAACATGAATATAAGTGGGTAACAGGAACATTAATTTAAAGCAGATACGGACCATCCGCTACCGAGCTGTATCTGCTTTCTTTTAAACCTAGATACACCAGTGCATTTTTTGGAGGTGGTTGAAGAAAAAAAAACCACTTCGGCCATATTATGGCTCGGGCCTGAGTCGAACAGGCGGAATCTGTGTACTCAAATCCAGGCGATTACTGGTTATGTGAGGCAGATACGGACCATCCGCTACCAAGCCGTATTTGAATTCTCATGAACCTGGGTATATCTAAACTTTTTCGAGGTGGTTAAAAAAAATGCAACTAATAACGACGCATGGCTTGGGCCCGAGTCGAACAGGCGGGATCTGCGTGCATTGCGTTGAAGAAGATCTCATTAAATGCAGATGCGGACCATCCGCTACCGAGCCTTAATTCCCTTCCTTTGAACTGGATATACCCAGTTATTTTGGAGGTGGTTAAAAAAAAATGCAGTCAATAACAATACATGGCTCGGGCCTGAGTCGAACAAGCGATATCTGCGTGCATTGCGTTTGGAAACCTTTCATTTGAAGCAGATGTGGACCATCCGCTACCGAGCAGTATTTGAATTCCTAAGAACCTGGGTATATCTAAGCTTTTTTGAGGTGGTTAAAAAGAAATGCAGCTAATACCGACACATGGCTCGGGCCTGATTCGAACAGGCGGGACTGCGTGCAGGTAGGTAGGTAGGTAGGTAGGTAGTATTACCTCACATGGAAAGAATACATTTGAAGCAGCCGCGGACCATCCGCTACCGAGCCTTATTATCATTCCTTTGCACCTAGATATATGAGCACAATTTGGGAAGTGGTTGGGAAAAAAAAACGAATCGAGTCGAAGATATGGCTCGGGCCTGAATCGAACAGGCAGGATCTGCATCAGATGGATACACGAAGAATTTGAAGTAGACGCGAACCCTCCGCCACCGAGCCTTATTCCCTTGCTTCTAAACCTAGATATATGGGCACAATTTGGGAGGTGGTTGGAAAAAAAAAACATGCCACCGCGTATATGGCTCGGGCCTCAATCGAACAGGCAGGATCTGCATCAGATGGATACACGAAGAATTTGAAGCAAACGCGGACCATCCGCTACCGAGCCTTATTCCCTTTCTTCTGAACCTAGATATATGAGCACAATTTGGGAGGTGGTTGGAAAAAAAAAAGATCAAGTCAAAAATCAGAAATGGCTCGGGTCCAGGCCTGATTTGAACAGGCGGGATCTGCGTGCATTCACTGCGTTCCGGTAACTCCTAGACTCAGTTAGGCTTCCTATGGGGGGTTCAGCCTAGCTGAGTGTAGGTGCCTAAAATGACCTAAAATGCCTCTGTCTAGGCGCCTACACTCATACCCCCCACAGGAACTGAGTCTAGGAGTTACCGGAACGCAGTGATTGCGCTTTACAACTTGCTTATTAAATGCAGATGCGGACCATCCGCTACCGAGCCGTATTCTCCATCCATTCGAACTTGAATGTATGAGCCCCTTTTGGATGTAGTTGAAAAAAAAAAAGAGCGGTCGAAGATGGCCATGGCTCGGGCCTAATTCGAACAGGCGTGATGTGCTTGCAGCGTATAAGCCTGTGATTTGAAGCAGATGCGGACCATCCGCTACCGAGCCATATTTTCATTCCTATGAAGCTGAATACAAGTAGCTGAATTTAGGGTGTGGTTGAAGAAAAAACAACTTCGAAGGCATCATGGCTCGGGCCTGAGTCGAACAGGCGTGATCTGCTTGGAGTGTATAAACCTCTAATTTGAAGCAAATGCGGACCATCCGCTACCGAGCCGTATTTTCATTCCTATGAAGCTGAATACAAGTAACTGAATTTAGGGTGTGGTTGAAAAAAAGAAAACTGAGATGACATGGCTCGGGCCTGAGTCTAACAGGCGGAATCTGCATTCTCACAAGTGACTGGAGTAGGGTTCATTGGAAGTAGACGCGGACCATCCGCTACCGAGCCTTATTTCTCTTTCTTTGAACCTGGATACACCCAGTGATTTTGGAGGTGGTCGAAAAAAGGTACTAATGCGAGACGCAAATATGGCTCGGCCGTGATTCGAACAGGCGTGATTTGCTTTGACTTCGAGCGGACAAATACATCACAAGCAGAGGCGGACCATCCGCTACCGAGCCGTATTTTCATTCCTATGAAGCTGGATACAAGTACCTGAATTTAGGGTGTGGTTGAAGAGAAAAAACAACTTCGAAGGCATCATGGCTCGGGCCTGATTCGAACAGGCGAGATCTGCGTGTAATTGCACTTGCATACCTGTTCATTTGAAGCAGACGCGGACCATCCGCTACCGAGCCGTATTTGCTTTATTTTAAACCTAGCTACACCAGTGCTTTTTTGAAGGTGGATGGAAAAAAAACACACCTCGACAGCATCATGCCAGTGGCTCGGGCCTGATTCGAACAGGCGTGATCTGCTTGCACTGTATGAGCCCGCGATTTGAAGCAGATGCGGACCATCCGCTACCGAGCCTTATTTCTCTTCCTTTGAACCGAGACAGGTGCATAGATTATTTGAGCGGCAGTAAAAAAAGGTCGCAAACATGTGGTACATGGCTCGGGCCTGAGTCGAACAAGCGGGATCTGCATGCAGTCAACCTATACCTTAATTGAAGCAGATGCGGACCATCCGCTACCGAGCCTTATTCCATTTCTTTTGAACCTAGATATATGAGCACAATTTGGGAGGTGGTTGGGAAAAAAAGGTAAACTTCGAAAGCATCATGGCTCGGGCCTGATTCGAACAGGCGAGATCTGCGTGTAATCCCGCTTGCATACCTTTTCATTTGAAGCAGACGCGGACCATCCGCTACCGAGCCTTATTTCTCTTTCTTCTGAACATAGATACATGAGCACAATTTGGGAGGTGGTTGGGAAGAAAAATGTAAACGAGAAAATAATGGCGCGGGCCTGATTCGAACAGGCGGGATCTGCGTGCCATTACGAAGAGTATATATTTGAAGCAGATGCGGACCATCCGCTACCGAGCCGTATTTTCATTCCTATGAAGCTGAATACAAGTAACTGAATTTAGGGTGTGGTTGCAAAAAGGATTGAGAACAATGACAAATGGCTCGGGCCTGATTCGAACAGGCGGGATCCAGCGACCCTTGGAAATTAGATATTTGAAGCAGACGCGGACCATCCGCTACCGAGCCTTACTTCCCTTCCTTTGAACCTGAGTACAGGTAACTGAATTTTGGGGTGTGGTTGCAAAAACGATTATGCCCCGACGCATGGCTCGGGCCTGATTCGAGCAGGCGGGATCTGCGTGCCATTACGAAATTGCATATATTTAAAGCAGATACGGACCATCCGCTACCGAGCCTTATTCTCCCTTTCTTTGCACTTGAATATAAGAGCACATTTTTGGTGTGTGGTTGCGAAAGGATTGAGAATGACGACCGTGACGCATGGCTCGGGCCTGAGTCTAACAGGCGGAATCTGCATTCCCACATGTGGCTGGAGTAGGATTCAATAGAAGTAGACGCGGACCATCCGCTACTGGGCCTTGTATCCCTTCCCTTGAACATGAGTATATAAGTATGTATCTGAATTTTGGAGAAGAGGGAAAGATGATCAGAATAGGCTTGCATGGCTCAGACCTGATTCGAACAGGCGGGATCTGCATTCGCATTGAGCGAAAGTACCATTAGAAGTAGACGCGGACCATCCGCTACTGAGCCTTACTTCCCTTCCTTTGAACATGAATATAAGTGTGGAAGATTATTTGGTGTGGTTGCCAAAAAAAAGCGTGATGATCTTCGCGAACATGGCTCGAGCTCGGGCCTGAATCGAACAGGCGGGATCGGCATGTAGTAAACCTGAACCTTAATTTGAAGCAGATGCGGACCATCCGCTACCGAGCAGTATTTGAATTCCTATGAACTTGGGTATATCTAGAGGTGGTTAAAAAAATGCAGCCAATAACGACACATGGCTCGGGCCTGATTCGAACAGGCGTGATCTGCTTGCAGTATATAATGTGAGTGGCAGTAAAAGAGGTCGCCGACATGGCACATGGCTCGGGCCTGAGTCAAACAGGCGGAATCTGTGTACTCAAGTTCAGGCGAATCCTCCTCATGTGAGGCAGATGCGGACCATTCGCCACCGAACAGTATTTGAATCCCTATGAACCTGGGTATATCTAAAGCTTTTCGAGGTGGTTAAAAAAAATACGCGAACAACGACGAATGGCTTAGGCCTGATTCGAACAGGCGGGATCTGCGTACATTGTGGTACTTGAGGGAATCATTAAATGCAGATGCGGACCATCCGCTACCGAGCCATATTTGCTTTCCTTTGAATGTGAATACAAGTAGCTGAATTTGGGGTGTGGTTGAAATAACAACGATCAGGATGATGCATGCATGGCTTGGGTCTGATTCGAATAGGTGTTTTACATCCAGCGACCGTTGGAAATTAGATATTTGAAGCAGACATGGACCATCCGCTACCAAGCCGTATTTTCTCTCCCTTTGATCCTGCGTGTATGAATGGTTTTTTGGGAGGTGGTTGAAAAATAAACAAACACCTGGACCACATCATGGATCGGGCCTGATTCGGAGGAGGAGGAGGAGGAGGATTTCCTGCGCGGTCCCAAATTGAAACAACAGGTAGTCGCAATACATACATGAGACGACAATGTGTGCTACGGGTGTCCTACATCGCCATCGTTGTGACCAGCCCTACCTCAGAACCATGATTCGAACAGGCGTGATCTGCTTGCAGCATATAAGCCTGTGATTCGAAGCAGATGCGGACCATCCGCTACCGAGCCGTATTTTCTTTCCCTTTGATCCGGAGTGTATGAATGGGTTTTTTTGGGGAGGTGGTTGAAAAAGGTGTGGATCAGGCCGCACATGGCTCGGGCCTGACTCGAACAGGCGTGATCTGCTTGCAGCGTACAAACCTGTGATTTGAACCAGACGTGGACTATCCGCTACCGACCCTTACTTCCCTTCCTTTGAACCTGGATATATCGGTTTCTTTTGAAGGTGGCTGAAAAAAATCCCGATACATGGTTCGGGCCTGATTCGAAGAGGTGAGATCCGCGTGCATTGTGCTGCGCGACGGAATCACGAAGTGCAGATGCGGACCATCAGCTACTGACCCTTATTCCATTTCTTTTGAACCTAGATATATGAGCACAATTTGGGAGGTGGTTGGGGAAAAAAGGTAAACTTCGAAGGCATCATGGCTGCGTGCATCGCGCTGAGCGACGCTATCATTAAATGCAGATGCGGACCATCCGCTACCGAGCCTTACTTCCCTTCCTTCCTTCGAACATGAATAAAAGCTGTAAGATTATTTGGTGTGGTTGCCAAAAAAAAAGCGTGAAGATCCTTTCGGACATGGCTCGGGCCTGAGTCGAACAGGCGGGATCTGCATGTAGTCATTGTGAATCATGATTTGAAGCAGATGCGGACCATTCGCTACCGAGCCTTACTTCCCTTCCTTTGAACCTGGGTATATCTAAACTTTTTCGAGGTGGTTAAAAAAAATGCTGATAAGTAATAACAACACATGGCTCGGGCCTGAGTCGAACAGGCGGGATCTGCGTGCATCGCGTTGAAGATGATCTGATCAATTAAATGCAGATGCGGACCATCCACCACCGAGTCGTATTTCCCTTCCTTTGAACCTGAATATAGGTGTGTAAGATTATTTGGTGTGGTTGGAAAAAAAAGGGTGATTACATTGAAGAAACATGGCTCGGGCCTGAATCGAACAGGCAGGATCTGCATGTAGTAAACCTGAGGGTTGATAATTGAAGCAGATGCGGACCATCCACTACCGAGCCGTATTTGAATTCCTATGAACCTAGGTATATTCAAGCTTTTTCGAGGTGGTTAAAAAAAATGCAGCCAATAACGATACATCATGGCTCGGGCCTGAGTCGAACAGGTGGGATCTGCGTGCAGTGATCACGAGCATGAATAATTTGAAGCAGACGCGGACCATCCGCTACCGAGCCTTCCTTTCATTCCTTTGAACCTGAGTACAGGTAACTGAATTTTGGGGTGTGGTTGCCAAAAAAAGCGTGATGCTCGCAAATATGGCTCGGGCCTGAGTCGAACAGGCGGGATCTGCATGTAGTAAACCTGAAACTCGAAAATTTGAAGCAGATGCGGACCATCCACTACCGAGCCGTATTTGAATTCCTATGAACCTGGGTATATTCGAACTTTTTCGAGGTGGTTAAAAAAAATGCAGCCAATACTGCCGATACATGGCTCGGGCCTGATTCGAACAGGCGTGATCTGCGTGCAGTGACTATGAGCATGAATAATTTGAAGCAGACGCGGACCATCCGCTACCGAGCCTTGCTTTCATTCCTTTGAACCTGAGTACAGGTAACTGAATTTTGGGGTGTGGTTGCCAAAAAAAGCGTGATGCTCGCAAATATGGCTCGGGCCTGAATCGAACAGGCGGGATCCATGTAGTCAACGCGAACCCTTTAATTTGACGCGGACGCGGACCATCCGCTACCGAGCCTTATTCTCTTTCTTCTGAACCTGGATATATGAGCACAATTTGGGAGGTGGTTGGAACAAAAGATCAGGTGCAAAGGATATGGCGCGGGCTGGAGTCTAACTTTGAATCTGCATTCCAACATGTGGCTGGAGTAGGGTTCAATGGAAGCAGACACGGACCCTCCGCTACCCAGCAGTATTTGAACTCTTATGAACCTGGGTATATGTAAACTTTTTCGAGGTGGTTAAAAAAATGCACACATCTTCAACATATGGCTCGGGCCTGAGTCGAACAGGCGGGATCTGCTTGCAGACTCATGGAAAATAGCCAATTTGAAGCAGACGCGGACCATCCGCCACCGAGCTGTATATCCCTTTCTTTGAACTTGAATATAAGCTGTATTTTGGGTCGGCAATAATAATAAAACAACTGGCGACGCGGGCGAAACATGGCTCGGGCCTGAGTCGAACAAGCGGGATCTACGATGCCCATGCTGGAATTATTTGAAGTAGTCGCGGACCATCCGCTACCGAGCTGTATTTTCTTTCTTTTGAACCTGAGTATTAAGTATCTGAATTTTGGCGTGTGGTTGAAAAACAAAAGGATACCTTACTCACGAAACATGGCTCGGGCCTGATTCGAACAGGCGTATGCCCAGTGCTGGAACGATTCATTTGAAGCAGCCGCGGACTATCCGCTACCGAGCTGTATTCCCTTTCTTTAGAACCTGAATATTAAGTATCTGAATTTTGACGTGTGGTTGAAAAAAAAAACTGCATGGCTCCGGATCTATGCAATGCACCAAGCGACTTCAACATCTGAGGTACTTGCGGAACCACCCTCTACAAAGAAATATTTCCACTAATGAAGCATGGGCCCAGACGGGATCTGCGTGCAGTGATCAAATAAATTTGAAACACACCCCACACCCGCTGCCGATCATTAATTACTCAAAGAGGCGGGGACCTTCCACCAATGGGGTTGAGCTTCGCGCTAGTCCAGATTCGTCTGTACGTTTGTGTCACTCTGGCAACGAGAAAGAAGAGAAGGGCTCTTGACAAGAACTTTGACAAAAACATTATTTCTGGCAGAAAATGATCAACAGATACACCTGGTGAATGCATGGCTCGTACACCCATGCTCGACAAGATGTGGGTGCAAAGACGGCCTAAGATGGAGTGATACAGATGGAGATAATTAAAGAGAAGGATCAGAAGTGCGGCGATTGATCGGAACGGAGAGCCTCGAGGCATCAGCGGAAGCAGTGCGAGATAACCTTGAACCGTTGCCCCTCGACAAAGAGTCGACTGCCATGGCCAATCCCCACCATGGCCTCGTACACGACCCCGCCGCCCTCCAAGCCCTCCCGACCTTACCCGCCCACCCCAAAGTGCGCGTGCTGTCCTCTGCCCAGTTTGCAGAGATGCACACAGCACATACGCTAGCACACCCGCCAGACGGCGTCCTGTTCCCGTTCCTGCATGGTCTGGAAGGGGACAATCACGCCCAGAATACCTTTTTTGCTTCGCCCGCTCGACGGCGCCCCCCGCCATTCCGTGGTCTCGTCTGGGTGGTCGCAGACGACGACCTTGCGCCCCCGCCGCCTGCGCCCGACCTGCTCTCGTCCGCGTCCTCCAGCGAGGAGGAGTATTCAGAGGAGGACGACGACGACGAGGACGAGCTTGACCCCATGATGGATGTAGATGACCCCGGCGTGCACATCGTCAGGGGCGACGACGTCCCGCCCATCGCGACCCTCGAGAACGACGCCGACAAGGACGCCGCCGCGCACATGCACCCCGTGCACCACCGTGTAGTGCAGATACAGACCGCGGGGCTACCGCTGGGCACGCCCGATAGCGGTACGGGCACCAGCTCGGCGTGCACAGATGCGAGCTTCTTTGCGTCGAGCCCGCTGACGGACGTTGATGTCGAGATGTGAGTGCTTTTGTTCTGCATTTTAGTGCGTTGCTTCGTTCGTGGTTCGGCACTATGTGGTCGCGCGACACAGGGGTGGCTCCGATGTTCTGGCTCTACGCCTGTTGTCACCATTGTCCTCGTCAGCCACACAGTATCTCTTGTCTCTCTTCTTCACCTCTCTTCCCTTGCAACCTCTTCTCTCTTGTCCGTCTCCCTACCCCTCTCTCTGTCGTCTTCCCACTCCATCTCTAATCCTACATCTTCCATTACCCCTGTCTCTCGTCTTCCGCGCTTGGCGTAGTGTGCCAACCTTATTCGTCAGCCACCTCCCTTCTTCCACTCTCTTGGTTCTTTTATTTTATCCTGTCCCTTCCTTATTTTCCTTCCCTACCACCAAGCCTATTACACCACCCCGCACCCGTATTACACCATTTCGCGACGAATTGATACCCATCACTTTGTTCTCGTTACTTGGCCGATGTGGCGGACCACACCCCGCTCCACTTGACACCCACTTCAACGCGCATTTATTTCATTTTATTCCGTCCTCGCTTCTATATTTTTTATCCTATTTTCATGTTACATACCCCGTTTTTCCTCGTCTCCATCGTTCGCGTTGTACCACCCCCAACCTGCCCTCTTTCCTTCCCCTTCCCCATCCCACTTCCCACTTCCCAGTCCCATTCTTCCCAACTTCCCCTTCCTCGTGTTTTCGACACACCCACTTGATTTTTATTTCATGTATTCCGTCCGTCCGGGTTGACAGACACCTATCTATCACCTATCCACCGGGAACTTGTTTGGATCCCTAATTAACTTAACCGCTAACGCCATGCGTACCCTCCTTCCGCGCTCTCGTGACCTCTTCTTCTAATTCAATATTTTTCACTCTCTTTTGACTTTACTTCATTTTTCTCTCTTTATTACATTTCGGTTTACGTCCTGAACTAATCTATCTATCCATCTACCCAGGCACCCCTCCCCGCCCAGCTCGCAGTCCGAGGGCAGCACCGCGTCATCCGGCTCGTCGTATGCGTCGCAGCCCCAGTCACAAGCCCCATCGCAGGGCGAGGACCCGAGCACGGTAGGAGCGCAACCGCAACACCCAGAAGACGCAAGCGCACCACCCCCAGAAGACGCGCCGGCGGACCCGGCGCGCCCGCCGCTGCTGACGTGCACGTTCCGCCCGCGAGACCTGATTAGAAGGGTGGGTGCGGGAGAGGTGAGGATTTCTTTTTTTTTCTTTCGTATTTTCTTTTCGGTTTCTTTGTGTTTTTGGGGGGGAGGCGCGCGCGCGCGGATTTTTTTTTGTTTCTGCGTTTATTTCGGAAACGAATTTTTGGGGTTCTGCGTGCGCGAGGCTGCATTTTCGTTTTCTTGATATCGCGCATATATCCACCCTTCCTCGCTCTTTCGCTTCTCCTCCTCGTATCTCTCCCCTTCCCCCCCCACTGGCCGTCACATATCCCGCCTCCCACTCGACTTTCTGTGCCCATATATTCGGCCCCCCTTCCTTCCGCTCCCTTCCCATATCCCATTCCCTAGCCTTGCGCGCGCAAATACCCACCCTTCCCCACCCACCCCGCTCCCTTCCCCCAAAAGATCGCGCATATGTCCACCGACTCGTCACCGCGCGTATATTCCTCTCCCTCCTCCCGTCCACTTCCTTCCCTGACCCTCATCGTACCCACCCGTATGCTCGCCCTTCCCTCCTGTGCCTTCCTCGACTTTGCCGCGCATATATTCACCCCTTATTTCGCGTTCCTGGCCACCTCATATCGTCACATCCACGACGCTCCTCCCCGCGTCTTCATCCCTTCACCATTACGCGCATATACCCACTTCCGTCGCCCGAAATCGCGTATATATCCCCATCTCCTCCGCCCGTTGTACTGCCTCTCTTCCCCTCCCCTTCCTTCCCCGGCCTCTGATATTCCGTCCCTTCTCTTTCTCCGTTCCGTTGATTCCTCCCCCATTCCCTCCATCCTCTCGCGCGCCGCCTTCCACCCTTCCCCGCCGTTACTCTCCTCGCCTGTCCTTCGTCTTCCCATTTCGCAATGTATTCATTCGCTCTCCATTCGCTCTTCCTCCTCGTTTTTCTCTTTTTCTCCCGCATCCGTCATCTCACAATACTCACTCACCCCCCCCAGCGCCCCGCACTGACGCACGCGCCGCGCCTCCCTGCTGCCCTCCCTGTGCTCAATGGCAAGCACGCGAAAGACACAGGCTCAGCAGCAGGAGGAGCAGGAGGAGCAGGAGCTGGAGTTGGAGCGGCGGAGGAGGAGTGGGAGTTCCGCCCGGCACGGGTGCCGGACGGGATTTCGCTGCGAAATTTTGGGATCCAGGTGGTGAGTTTTTTTCTTCTTTCGAGGTGTGCTGTGTTTTTTTTCGTGCGCGAGGGGGTGT